AGGGATGCCAATTTTTTTATAATCGGGATCTTGCCCCTCCATATGGTCTAATATTTTCTCTTTTTTTAGTTTAGTCATCCTCTAATAGTCCTTTCTAGAGAGCTTGCATTTCAACCTAAAGTGTTGGTTGGCCATCCCCCATTTCACAAGCTTAAAATTATTAAAAAAACCATCATCCATGCAAAATGGTAGCAACCTAACTTTCATCATATATTTTGCTATCATCTTCACAAAATTAGACAACTTAGGGCTTCTTACACTCATAAATTCTCAAGAATTAATTCGGCATTAACCACTTTAAAAGTATGTAGATTCCCATCACCAGCTCTTTCTACCTCAATATATGGAACCGACGTGTTTTTTTGTCATAGCTACAACCCCGTTAACTCTCATAGTAATTAGCTTTTCTTTAGGTATATACTTCAATCTTCGAGTATAGTGAGGATGTGATAGCTCCTATAGAATGAATCTCTAATCCGCTTAGTAACATACTATAGAAATTATGGATACCGATCACTTATAAAGTAGTTTAGAATTGGTATCGCCTAAAGCCTAGATCAATCTCTATGTCTCCAATACCATCATAAGCCCATGTCATAATTTTGCTATGCCTCATATATCAAGGATCAACTAACGGATGGTCCAGGATATACTTTAGTAACACATTAAGAGCAAATCCATTATTAATCAACACCTTCGCTATTATATGGTCTTTGACTTGATGGTGATATATAAGGCTTTTGTTATGACTCGGTTCTCTCGAGTTCTAATTTGTTTTCGCAAATTACAAGTAATGGTTTAATCTTATCAAACGTACCTCTACTCTTGATATTTTCTTAATATGACCCCCGTATTTTTTTTTTATTTAACCCCTCCTCGTACTCTTTAATGTTTCTTAATGTAGCCTCTCCAACTATTTTCTAGCCAATTTTTTGATCAAAATTGATAGTTGAGATAAAATAATCCACGTGGTATGACACGTCATATATTTTTTGCTATGTGGAAAAAAATGATTTTATTTTTTCTCCTTCTTCTCCCTCTCTCTCTCCTTTATTTATCCCCCTCCCTCTCTCTCTCTCTCTCTCTCTCTCCTTTGTTTTGATTAACCCATGATAATTACCTAAACATAATTATCCATTAGATTTTGAACCTTAAGTTAGAAAAGATGGAGTTTCATGGATTTGATAATTACAAGTAGTGTATCAATTAGGGGATTAAAATTTTTATTTTAAAATTTTAGAGATCAAAATGAAATAACTTGAAAATTCAAAAAAAAAAAAAAAGGAACATAAATTGATGGAAAAAAAACAAAGGAGAAGAAAAAGAAAAGATATATATTCACAACAACTTGAAAAAGAGAAAAAAACGAACAGTACTAAAAAAAAAAAAAGGTGAACAACGGATGAAAAAAATTAAATAAAAAAAAACCTAATTTGATGGGAAAAAAAAAGGAGGCAAAAAAGAATAACTACTTAAAACCAAAAAAAAAAAAAAAGTAAAATGTGAACAGTACTCAGAAAAAAAAAAAAAAAGGTGAAGAGAGTTGTTGATATATATATATATATATATATATATATATATGAAAAAAAAATCAAAGCATAAATCTATAACAAAAGTGCATACGTCGAGAGTTGAAAGTGGGTTTATTGCTTAGAAGGCAATTATCCTAGCCGTTGGAATACAAACACTTTCTTGTGCTTGAATTACAACACACATACACACATATACATACATACATACATACATACATATAAAGTCTCGTTTGGAGGCACAGGACATAGTTGATGATGCTGCTCAAAACGCCGCGTTTGGGGAAAACTTTAGTGTGCGGCTCAGCCAGGCCCTACACTCAAACGCACAAGCTAGGAAGCTCCATTTTGGAGCTTTTGCCCCTTTTTTTTTTAATATATTCAAATAATAGATAAAGCGTGTGTACATGGAGTAAATTATAAATCAGTCCTTGTATTTTTAAGAAACTGATTAATTAGTTCTCTCTGTTTCAAAACTTAGTTATTTAATTCTTTTTATTCATTTTATGTTCTTTTCTAATTGTTTTGTTTTTTAAAAAAATACAAAAAATAAATAAATAAATTGATATTGTGAAAAAATTGGATAATTTTAAAATCAATAACATTAAATTAATCATGGTCAATACTAATCAATGAACTAAATCATTAGTTTTTAAAATAAAAAAAACTACTTAATCATTTTTTTGAAATTAGAAGGACTAATTTATACTTTAATATATATACACACACTAGAATAACTTTTATATATAAAATAAATATATTTATCTATTATACAAAAATTGTTTATTGTTTCTTATGTAAACTCAAACCCAGCTATACATTTAACCAAACATTTTTATTTTTCCTACCATTCTAAAAGTTTGATCTTTTTAAAAGCTCGACTATTTTAAAAACTTATACCGTTACTATCACTACTCTTAATGTCACTAAATCTATCTAATAATTTCTCGGCAAACTCCTATTAAATGAAATACCATATAATAAAAAAAATTGATTTTAAACCAAGCATCATTGAAACAATCAATTTCCAAATTAGGTTAAAATGTTTAAATTTTTGTGAAATGTTTTATAATCAAGTGGAGACCATAATTTCTATGTCTAATAAGCTTAGCTTAGATATGACTATATATAGCTTAGTTATTTTTTATTTTTCCGATAGTTATTTTTTTTCTTTTTCACACACACATATATATAATTATTAGATTGAGAAGGTTCAATGCATCGAAAGATTTTATAACTATGTTTAATATCATTATGATTAATTAGTTAGTTTATCAATGGGAGAAAACATTTGTTAATGTTAAAATCAAATGCAATATGAACTGAAATTTATTGATAAATGGATGAACTTGCAAAGGTTACGTGTGTGTGTGTGTGTGTATAATTGGTCTCGATAATTATTTGGTCTATTTAATTTAAGTAAAATACATTACTTTGATTTAATATTTCTTTCGTCAATTAATGAAAAATATTTTCTGTTTTAGGATTATTTGATGTTATTTGTTCAACGGATTATTAATTAAATATATGACTAGCGGTTATTTTGTCATAAATGCATACATTTCTTACACAGTTTTTTTTTTCATGTAATATCTAAAAAGAGAGAGAGAGAGAGAGTAATAATTCATTTTTTTTCAAAAATTAATTATTTATTAGTCCATTAATTAGTGTTGACTACGATTCATTTAATACTATTTTATTTTTAAAAATATCTTTTTTCATCAATCTTTTCATAATATCTATTTGAAAAAATATATAAAATAGACAAAAAAATATATAACTAGTCTTTGAAACATGAGGGATTAATTAATTTGTTTCTGAAAGCTAGAGGGACTAAGTTATAATTTACTTTAAAAAAAGAAAAAACAAAGAAAAAAAGAAACCAAACATAAAAGTGGCTGTCACGAGTGTATATGGAAAGTAGTGAATGCAATTATTTACAATTAGTATATGTTAAAAAAAAATTATTTTGTTTTCTTAGCAGTCAAAGTATTCTATAACAACTTTTCTAAACCCCTGTTGATTTAGGTTTCAATCAAGCCATCCACACCCATATTAGTGTATTTACAATAATTTGTTTTTTTCAATGTCTCCCTTTAATTCGAATTCTGAAAGATAAAGAACAATATGCTCACTCATGCATGTACTAAATTAACGTAAGGAATAAAAATTATAATATATTGAGACAATTCTTATTTTTTCTCTCCTAATTAATTTGTAATGAAAAGTATATTTTTCTTGTGCTTTCTGTTTATGGAATTTTTGTCACAATTAGAAAAAAAACTCGTCAAATCAGTCCAATTGATAATTATCTCCAATTTTCGTCAATTTTATGCATCACATATGGAGGGGAATTGAAATTTTTCTATAAAAATGAGGTAATTTACTTTAAATGGTGCATAAAATTGATGGAGATTGATGTGAATGATTTGTCCATACCTTCTCAACTATAAGGAAAATTGACAACAAGTGAAAAACATGGAAAATTTGACCTTCTTTTACAACTATAGAATGAAAAATACAGATAATCTCCACTTTATTTATCAAATAAGGAAAAAATTACAAAATATTTTCTGTTGTTATTAACCATTAAGAACCGGGAGTAATTGATTATTTATTTATTTGAGTTAGCAGCAAAAACTGAAGACCGAAAAAAGAGGCCCGAAAGACCCAACTGGCCAGGTTGTGACAACAGTGTCGGCCCATTGCCAATGAAGCGGCGGCAGCAAAAACTAAAAAGACAAATTATTATTTCAAGTAAAATAAATAAATAAAACAAAGAAAAGGAAAAGAAAAAAAGAGTGTAGTCTCTTTTAGCTGATTCGTTTCTTGTCTGGTCGTGATCTGTGTAACCCCACACTGTCTCTCTGGTTATTGCAAAGCACAAGCTTTCAAAAACCCTTCATTTCTTTCTTTCATTTTTATTGTTACTACAACATATTTAATTATTTATTCTGCCATTACTCTTTGATGGTCAGATTATCCTATGTTCACCTGCCAAATGCCATTCTTTTATACACCAAGATTTCATTTTTTAACAATCAGCAGAAAACGGCAATCAATTAAGGGGTTTTTATGCATTTTCCTTGCTTGAAAATTTTGCATATCTCTCACTAAAATGGAAAAAAATTAAACCCCATTTGCTTCCTAGCTGTACCTCTTCAATGTACCCTCTTTACCATTCTCATTTTTCGCTGTTTCACCAGCTGCTTTTCCTTCTATAAAGCTCAAACAGTTACACCTCAATCAACCTCCATTGCCATTCTACACCTTTTTTTAAAAACATTTTCAGGCAAAAAAAGAAACCTGTGTTGTTGTTCTTGTCAAACTTGAGGTGGGTTTCTGTGATTATTTTAGTGTAAAGGTGTCTTCTTTGAAATGAGTAAACATAAAGGTACAAAATTGACAATGTGGGTTTGTTTCTTTTTTGGTTTCGATGGCTAGAAAAGTACAAAAATGAAGAGTAGGAGAATGTTGAGAGAGGGACACAGGAGGAGTCCTAGGATATCTGCTTTGGATGTATGGAAGGCTCAGCCACCGAGGAGGACCACTGTTGCTAAAAAAACTAGGCTTAGTAGGAGCATTACTAGCACTAGCACTAGTACCAGTACTGCTGCTAAGGTACAAGACAAGGAGTTAGAGCAGCAAAAAGAATATCAACCTGAGGGTCCAGCCTGTAGGACAAGGGCTAAGAAAAAGAAGAAGCTTAAACCACTTCAAGATGTGGCTTCTACTCCCAATGTTCAACAGGTTTACTTCTTTGCCTGCCTCCCTTCCTTTTATTTTCATTTATTTATTCTTCCATGGTTGTTAGAGTGGTGGGTGGGGTAATAACAATCAGTTTCATCAAATTCATTGTTTTATGGAAATAATTACCTCTGATGAGTATGGCTGCTGGTTTGCTGCTCACTATAATTGAGTTGGTCATGCCCAAGTCTTTTTTTTTTTTTTTTGGGATCTAACTTCTATGTTGGAGTTTTTAAAGAGGGCTCCTGATATGAGTGGAAGTATCATGGGTCATGACTACATAAATTCACGAGAAGAATTTGTGTTGTGCTGTTGGAAATAGCGGTTGATTGACCCCACCCTACATTTCAGCTCAAATGCAGCATATGGGTTTTCATGATCATTACCATCTTTATTGCTTTAATTGTAATTTTTAAGGCAGTGGGGCTCCTTCAGGATTTTTTTTCTTTTCTTTTCTATTTCGTTCATACTTCTTTGTCTAAACCTCCAAATGGAGTTGGTTGTATTTGAATTGAAAGAGCCTGCCACTTTACCATGATATGCAGAACCTGTTCCTATAGAGTTCTAGTAACTAACCAGTAGTTTGTGATTGTCATGATGTGCATGAGCTTGCTGTTGCCTCTTGGTCACTCCTCATGGCCCAAGAGGGTGTATAGATTGATAGAGTCTTCTTTGTTGTCTTGAGTATGGTTTCAGGAGTCCAAGTCAAGTGATGCATCGGATGACAGAGAGCTAAGTGATGAAGATCATCCAATCAATATTGGTAAGCCTTTTTGCTCCATTAAAAATGTAATTGCAAAGTGTCTGCTGCTTTAAAGTTTCGGTGACACTGACATCATACTTCGCATTCCTTATTGGACCAGATGAACCCATTTTGCAGAATAAAGATAGCCCAAAACAGAAAGGACAGGCTAACTCTCCAGGTTATCTTCATTCTTTTTATTAAATTTGTAAATTAGATCTAAGTTTCTCTGTTTGTGACTCTAGTTTTTCTCCTGGATCAGATCAACCATCTCGTTTGCCATGTACATCATGGGTACCAGATAAACGCATTCTTGAGCATGTCATTGACATATTACAGAGGTGGATATTTTTCAGAAGTATTTATATCATTTAAGATACTGAGGAAGTCTTATATGCATCAAATACTTAAGATCATCAGTACTTTCCAATTACAATTTCCTCTCTTGTGTCTGCAATCGGCACAATGACACATGCTGAGGTTCTTACTGAGGCGTGCCTATTACACAGGTTGAAAACAGTTTCCTTTCTTGTTCTGACTTTTGTTTCTTATTTTCCATCTCTCAGGAGAGATACCCATGAAATATTTGCAGAGCCAGTTGACCCAAATGAGGTTGGTATTTGATCAGAAGTTTCCTTATGTATCAAGAATGTTGTCCTTTATTAATCGTATTTATGGAATTGCTGCTAATAAGGTTGAGGAGTACTATGAAATCATCCAAGAGCCTATGGATTTCGGCACCATGAGGGCTAAGCTTCATGAAGGAATGTATAAAAGTCTTGAACAATTTGAGGTTTGCTCCTTTATCAAGTATGAGTTCTCTATTTATGGTTTTGAAGGTACATTTGTTGTACATATTGATGCATGAACCATATAACTTCTAAACAAGAAACATCTAATTTCTTTTTCTGAGTACTAATTTTTTTACTGTTATGCAGCATGATGTGTTTCTAATATCCGGAAATGCAATGCACTTTAATTCCTCTTCCACCATTTATTTCAGACAGGTATGATTATCAGTTACGTGTCGAAGAATTGAATCATATTCAATGAAAATTTTCCCCCCAATTGAATGTCAAAGCTTGGTTTTTACAGGCTCGTGCCATAGATGAATTAGCTAAGAAGGTTTTCCATGTTCTTAAAACTGATCCCGAGAATTTTGAACTGGAATTCTCGGGGACAAGACGGCGAAGTGGTAGAAGGCCCCAACATGAAGTCAAGGGTTCGACTTATAGCTCATCCCCTAAGGTTGCAGCGAGTTCAAAATCCAGTAATACTGCAGTCCATGTATCTCCAAAGCCCATCCCATGTTTAACAAGTTGTTCATCAAGTCTAAAAAGAGCGGTCCGAATGCACTCTGGATGCTTGGGCATTACTACTCATTCTGATGCAAGAGATGACGAAGTACTTTTTGGTAAGAAGTGATTATGTTCTGACCTTCTCAAAATCAAATTTCTTAAGATCTTGTTTTGGGGAAGGGGAAATCCAGCTTGAACAAAATATGTTACAGGTTAATCAAGAAATTTCAGTAATTGCTTTGAAAATTTTGTTTATTGGGATATGTAGTCTAAGGAGCTCTCCATCTGTGATTTGACTATTTTTTTTAATATATGGAATCTGCATCATTAAAGGGTAGAAACTCTTCCTCTTTGTCCAGAAGGAGCTCTCTATTCGTTGTTTGCAATACACTTTACTGACTTGCATTCACTAAATAGGATTCTCTAGGTTAATGATTTTATCTTTTTTGACATGAGGTCATGGTTGGATCTGCTACACAAGGAAAAAGGCTAGATTGTTCCAACTACATAATTGGTTCTTTAGATTGCGCAAATTTTGAATGTTTCAAACTCTTTAAGAATATTGAACCCATGGTCTGTGAGGCTCTTCAATGTGGATTGTGCAGAAATGGATGGAGCCATAGGCTCCAACAATAGGGAAACAGAAATGCAGAAATTTTCCATTCTTTTCATGAAGCTGAATTGCATAAATATCATAAAATGTTTTAATTAGCTCTTCTTCAACAGGTTCTGGAGATGGTAAAAGATTTGGTTCTTCTGAAACAGATAAGCGCTCAACATATAAACCATGGATGTCCTTCCTAGATGAGAACTTTCCAATTATTTCATCAATTTATGGTAATTCAAAGCCACTAGTGCATGTAAGTGACTTGCCTAAGAGAGCAGTTCTGTTTTCTATGCATGCTTCCTGATATCATGAATTACAAGATACTGAATGAGAAATGACTCGGATGTTCTTTGATGGTGTAGGTGAATCAGCAGGATACTGCCTATCGTAAAAGCTTATTGTTGTTTGTTAAAGACTTAGGACCAACTGCCCAAATGGTTGCTAAACGCAAGTTAAATGGATGGGCGACGACAGCTGCCAATTTTCCAACTCCAGGTTCAAACTTTTGGCTTCAGGCACCAAACTGTCAAAATTTTGCAGCATCAACCTCTGCTCAGTGCTCTCCTTTTGATGCTACAATCACTGCTGCATGCCAAAATCTAAGCCGGGGTGACAGGATAGACATGTTTGATGTTGATAAAGGACTGGGAATGCATTGGACTTCAGGGAAAGGGGAACCAAATGGTAATTGTTACAGTAACTTTGGTGCCATTAGAAGTGAGGCTTCATTTTGCAATGAAATGGATGTTGCCGGTGTCTCAAGGAATGAAAAGCCTTCCCAATATCAAAACGGTGGCCTTCAATGGGGTTCACATTCATCCATCACCAATGCCAGAGATCTGAATCTTTTAGCTGCTGGTTTAAATAAAAAGGATAATGGATCGGCAATGTGGAAACAGGAGAAAAGCAAGATAGATAACAAATCACAACCATTGGTTTCAGGTTTCAAGGACTTTAAATCAAATGCTTTCGAAAGCAGGTTGAGTGATACTCACAGTTTATCACCATCTTCATGGCCCCTAAAAACCACAGGCATGTCAAGTTTTAATCGAAATATTGGCAATGCACATATTTCAAGTACACAATGTCTGAGAAGGGATGATCAAGCACTAGCTCCTCAAGTTCCAAATCATGGACTTGGCAGTTCATCTGAGACAATTCAGGCCTTGAAACCAAGCGAACAATTGACACCTGTTTCTGGCCATTTCATCTTTGATCTGCCATTTTTAAAGACACAGCTTGACCAGGTAAATTCTCTGGGGCAGAATAGATTTTCACAGCATGGTTCAGGCATGCAGGGACCTTTTCTGAACAGAATAGGTGAGACTTACAATGATAACCATCCACACTCCTCATTGAATACTCAGCATACTAACTTGGCTCTTCAGCTGTAATATAATGTGACTTGAACATGAAGAACGCATTGGTAGGAAACATGTTTTACTACTTGTACATATAATGAACGCTATGGCATTGCATCAAAAGAAGGCCTTTTGTTGTAAAAGGAGGCTATGATTGCAGCCTCGTAGGAATTGTTTGTAATTAACTTAAGATTAAACAATGGTTATTGAGAAAGATGTAATGCAAATCTCGTCGTTTATCAAGTAAGCATTGATTTCTATATTGGTTTGAACTTTGGATCCTTCTGTGACAAGATAAAAAACTTGAGAAAATCTTCGTCATCAAAGACTAAAATCGAGTCTTGGGGCTTTTTGCATAAGCGAAGTAAAAAGAGAAGGCGAACCTGTCAATGAAGAAATGAGATTGGCGAGCCTGATTCAATGATGATAAAATAATATACAGAGGTGTGGTTCTCATAATTTATCGAGTTTAGAAAAAGATGGATTTAGTTTTGGTCGACATGAAAACTAATCAGAAGCTATTTTACTGTACATAAACATAAAATAATAATGGCAATAACAATAATAATAATAATAATGGATGAGATAAAGTATAAGACTCGAACTAAAAAAGGGTGCATTCATAACAGGAAAGTTGTGCTGATACACATACAGTTGGATGAGTTGTCCTACAAAAGCTTAGGTAGACGGTTCTTTTTGAGTTGTAAGTCTCGCACGTTGAATATTCGAAACATGCAAAATATGTACCTTAGTCATGAACAAAATTCTATTTTATTTTTGGCCTAACGTTGTATTCCAAGACAAAGTTGTTTTCCGGACAGATTATATATACATTTTTCACATTGGAAGTGTGAAATTCATAAAACTAAGGGACCAAAGTTTAACTGCTCGTTTGGCAATTTATCGAAAAAAAAAGAGGCAAAGTAGCCAGTAATAGTATATTTGGAAGGAGCACAACTGCCAGTCAATGCCAACCATTGGATCATGATAACCTCAAAAATAAGAATAAAAATACATGTATCTTAAGAGGCATACAAGTGGTGTCATATTAGCATTCCTCATGGTAAATGTCTTGTTTTTGTGGTACAAAACCGAAAAAAAACAAAGTAGAAGTTCGTTAGACAAATCCAAAAACAGAGAGACGGTTGTGGGTTGTGGTGATTTTCCTCTTCCTCTTCCTTGATCACCACCTCTACTTGTCATCGTGGCAGTTGGCGGTGGCTTTGACGGCCAAGAGCAAATTATTATCATTAATAGAAAGAGATGGCATATAGGAGAAGACATGGAATTACTAGGACATCAACATTCAAAGAAGAGATTTATCAGCCACAAGAAAATGACAACCCCCATAAAAGCATCAACAAAAGTAGTAATATCAATGATGATACTTTGCTTACAACATCTTCTCCATCTTCATCTCTGGCTGCTCAGGCTATTAGGGCATCTGCTGCTCATCGTGAATCATCCCTTTCTTCTGCATATGCTGGAGATTCTATCTCTCAGAGATCTAAGGTCTTCTTTACGTCTTTTTATATATTAAGAACCCATTTTTGTTCTTCTGTTCCTGTTTCATTTAGGATTTTTATCTGCCAAAAATGAACATGGATCTCATTTAGGATTTTTATCTGCCAAAAATGAACCCATTTTATCTGCATCTCTAATTCCCCACTACATATTGAATTGGTTTTGGTCACTGCTTCAGTTTTTTATCCTTCATTTTTAGGCATATATGTCGAGGTTGAATTTGCAGTTATTCAACGATATTAGAAACATTGACAATTTTATAGTGTTTTTATATGAACTCTGCGCTTTTGCTGTCTTGGTTTGGAAAAAAAATCAGGAAGTGATAATGTATATTTAATTTTAATCGGGTTAGGGGATTCCAAACTAGATACTCATATATCCAGAGCCTAAATCTGATTTTTTTATGATCAATGGATTGATGCCCTTGTAGGCATGATCAATATATGTTGGAATCTAGAATAATTGCCGTAAGAAGATGAGAGATTGGTCTGAATGTCTTTGCATACAAGCTTTATTACACATTATTCTTACCCTTTATATTTGATGAGGTATGATGCCTAAACATTTAGGTGTTTGATGCATATGAGGACAAACTGGGAACAAATGACTCGAAAGGGTTTTGGGGTGTTCTTGCTCAGAAAGCGAAAGCAATTCTCGAGGATGATAATATGTCTCAACAATTTGAAACACCAGCAAGATCCAGGTTTCAGATGCCAGATACCTCTGCAGGTGGTCAGGTGATTATCAACTTAACATTTGAGTCTCACTTTTCACAGTGAAGAAAATCGGAAAATGAAAGAGTCTTCAATTGATTGTTGTAATATTTTTGTTTCTTTGACAGTATTCATACCAGACACCTGAGGGCTTGAGGAAAATGGATAATCCTACAATACGAAAGGGCTTGGATAAGATTACATCTTCCCTTAATCAAATTGGTGACACCTTCGAAAAGGCTTTCGAGGTAAGATGTTTTGCTTCCTCTGCAACTCTAGGCAACCTTATCCGCTGTGTTTACTATATAACTTGTTTTAGTTCGTTATCCTACTTGATGAGCTCATGATTTCTATCTATCACCCGAGCAAGGCAAGGATTGCTAAGTGTAGCCAGATTCGTGAATTTGTAAATATAACAGTGAGCAATTAAATTGGATGTTGTTAATTAGAGATCAGAGTTTCTGTATGGAGGAGAGTTTCCAGTATTTGATTTTTTTCTACTTTTCTTCTTTTACAAAACACTGAATCGATAAGGTAGATTACAGAAGAACTGATAAAAGTAAGTGACAATGATGCTAACAAGTATGCTAGCAGATTTACATTTTTGGAATGAACTAGTCATACGTTTAAAACTTACCAAGTGTAGAATTATATTTTCTTGCTTCCATATCTCTGGTTATTTTTCAGGAAGGGCGCACCATTGTGGAAAATAAGACTGCAGATATCATCCAAGAAACTCGCAAACTGCAAATTAGGCGAAAAGGTCCCGAGGCACTTAATCAAGGTCCTGGTGCAAATAGTTCATGGATGCATCAACCTACACAACTTCTGAACCAAATGAACCATGAAGATCAACTGAAGGCATCTCGCGACGTAAGGTGGCAACTTTGTATTTGTGGGCCACTGGTTCATGCGGAAAAATTTTAAATGCTTTAATTTGGAAATCAAATAAGATTTAAGTTCTCAACTAACTTAAATTATGCTACTAAGCAGCATGTTATGAAATACCGAGGTCTCTAGATACAAGACAGATTATTGTGGCTGTGGGAAGAGTGCGATTTTTTTTTTTTACTCATTTGATGACTTGGAGTTTAGCCTCTGGCTTGACCAAAGTAAAGCTTTCGTTAATATGGTTGTGAACTGACTTGCTTTGCAGCAACTTTAGAATAATTACATCAACTGTTAAAAACTAGATATGAATCTTATCATCAGTATTCATTCCAAATTATTAGCTTCAGCAAAAGACAAAAGTTGTGAGCCTAGTTTCAATCTCCTAGCTGGTGAAATGCATGATTGGCCTTTTGTTCACAGGTTGCGATGGCTACTGCTGCAAAAGCAAAACTTCTTCTTCGGGAACTAAAAACTGTTAAAGCAGACCTGGCTTTTGCTAAACAAAGATCTTCACAGCTGGAAGAAGAGAATAAAATCCTTCGGGAGAGCCGTGAAAAGGGCAGCATTGCTGAAGATGATGATCTGGTAATGTATTCTTGTACTTCATTGTACTTCTCTCTCACAAGGTTCTTTGTGTAGAACCGATGCATGCTGTTTGTCCGAATTTTCTAATTTATGTTCCATCTGCAATTTCGATCTTTATATTGTTTTCTTCGCTAGTTTCTGTATCTGTAAGATGCCTCAATGACTGTGCTTCTTTAGCTGTTTTAAACTGGAAGATACAATTGTGATAATCCATTGATTACTATCTAATTTACCTATCTGCTATGGCAGATCCGCCTTCAATTGGAGACACTTTTGGCTGAGAAGGCTCGCCTAGCACATGAGAATTCTATATATGCTCGTGAGAACCGCTTTCTGAGGGAAATTGTAGAATACCACCAACTTACGATGCAGGATGTTGTTTATTTGGACGAAGGCAGTGAAGAAGTTACTGAAGTTTATCCCTTTACGAGGATGCTTTCTGTTTCTCCACCCTCCCCCACCTCTCCTTCTGAGACCACATTAAGTTCATTATTGGAAAAGGAAATCTATCCCGTCCCTGTCCCTCCACAAGAAACACAGGAGGTTTCAGAAAGTGATGTCCCTCCAAGTGCAGCTGTACCTGTACTCAAGGAAGAAGAAGAAGATGCAAGAAGTAATGCCCCCACAAGTGCAGGATTACCAGTGCTCAAGGAAGAAGAAGAAAAAGGAGATGCAAGAAGTAATTGCCCCCAAGTGCAGCTATCCCTGTACTTGAGGAAAAAGAAGAGGCAAAACGTATACCTGCAAACAAGGAAGAAGATGAAAATGTACTCCAAAGTCTCCAATACGTAAGGAGCAAAAAGCAAAAGCATCCTCAGTATCGTCTGGCGTAAATAAGTAGTTCTGTTCATCTCTGGCATCAGTAGTTTTGCCTCAAGATTGTGGTTTTTTTTTTTTTTTTTTAATGTTGGTTATGTGTTTGACAAAGCCAAGGTTTTGGGGGAGATTTTTTTTTCTTTTTCTTTTTTCTTGGGCAAGCATTCTTTATTGTTTTCTGTATGTAATTGTGTATGCAGTTGTGTATTTGTTATCAAATAAAGACTGATCTTCTTTTTCAGATAACAAATTTGTAGCTAGCAATTTCTTTGATCAATTAAATTTACGTGGCTGCTGTACATCTCATGGTCCATCATCAACTTATCTGTGGATAGTTCAAATTACAAACCATTTTTCTTTTCTTCTGCAATCGACTGTCAAAAAAAATAAGAAAAAAACAAACAAACAAACCCTTTTACACCCTATATTGGTAAATATAACTGCTTTAGACACTGTTGGAACTTGGAACAGCTTCACAGATTGCCTCATGTAGAGCCATTGAAGTTGCTTGCAAACGTCCACAATTCTACATAACCCATATCATCCTCAGAATTTCCAATTGCAGTTTTCACTAACCAAATCTTGGTTTCTAATACTAGCTCATGAAGTACTGTTCGTTGCACCCCTCGTCCAACGAGTCTAGACTGAAGCTCGTTTCATCTCCCCACAGGGCGTGCCAGCATGTACCAGTCACAGAGGCATTCCATTTTGCCAGCACTGCAAAGCAGCTCATTCAGCGATGAAAGAATACCAGAGATTCTATATTCGCTTCCTGCATACAGTCAGGACTGCCGACTGGCCAGAGACTAGTTAGAGATGGTGCAAGGCCAATTTAAGCCACTGACGCAAAGGAGGAAGTTGAACACTTCAAACTAGACACCAACCAGGTTTCAATGTTTAGAAATAAGCTCAAGCACTCCAAATAGTAAAGGCATCCATCCATTCCTTGAAAACAAAAAGAGTATATACAATTTTAAGGGAAAAAAAAGGAGAAAATTTTCTTTGACAGCGAATGAAAAAGATTTATATATTGTTAGTCATTTGAGGAACTGTCTTCAAGGGCGATTAGATACATTCATCCTTCTGGGATACAAGGGAACGAGCAGCCAATTCAAATTCCACCTGCTCTCTTCAGTTTGGTTTACTTGGGTAACTAACTAATGAACAAGCCAGAGCCAAATACAGTCGCATAACGTGTATAGATGAGATATGATCAGGAAAGGGCGGCTTTCGGTAGATGTTTTGGATCTCCCAAACAGAAAAACTCCCTGGTTTCTACAGTAGACACTTCTAGAATATCTGGAATAATAAACTAGTTGAACCATCACCGAACGACCTGAGATCTGCAGATTTGACCAAAGCCCTGCACAATGGGCACGTCCTTTCCCTCTCAAACCTGTAAACACACTCTCAGTCAGTTCAGATAAAACACATAAAAGTTCAGCCAAAACACAAATGAATTAACAACAGCAGGTTAATTGACTTCAGCAAAAGCAAATTATGTTCAAACAGCAAACGGAAAATGGAATGCTAGTAGTATTAGATCATATAAACTAACCATTCTGACACACAATCCTCACAAAAGATGTGTTTGCATCGAAGTAGTATAGGAGCATGCATCTTTTCCTGGCATATGGCACACAAATCCCCTGCTGCATTAACCTGCATTACAGCATGAATGGCTTTAAAATGCATGGACAACTATCTCACGTACTTGTCAAGAACCAGTGCACCACTGACAAAATCTATAGAGAGAGAGAGAGAGAGAGAGCTGAACATGTCAGTTTTTGCACACAATGAGTCAGAGACCAATATTTTGAACATTTTTCTATAACATCCAATTGCATGTAATCTAAAGAAAAGAAGGATTGTGAAAGATTAAAAAACTTGCACAAATTAAGTTAAAGATCAATTATTTTGTTAATGCAACAAGATAATTAACAAATCCATTGTAGCAATCCAAGGAAATGATCAAAAGATAGAATCATTCATCTCAAAGCTATCATTGGATCAGGAAGCATGTTTGCTAGTATTTCGAAAAGTGCCAACTATTTGCAATCAAGCAATTAGGAAAGGCGAGAAAGCTCCTGTTTTCAGCTTACTCTTCTCCAGCATGCAGTGGCGGAGCCCGAAGTTTTTCTAAAGGGGGGCAGAGATAAATTAAAAAGAAATCATACATCTACCAGGCCTTGTTAAAAATAGAATTATAATCATGCACATAAAAAGAAAACCTGTAGATCCCAAGCTAATTTTATGAAAAAGCATCATAACTAAAAAATTGAAATAAAATGTAGGACATAAAATAGAGCTATCCTTAGGTTTTGGGTGAAAGAGAACAATTATATATTTCATGTTCTTGGCTTAAATTAAATGATTAGTAAATGGGACTCAACTGTGCACAAAAAGTGTGCAATATAAGTATAAAAAGATCAAGAAAAAGGGAGAAGAGTGAGAGAGAGTAGCATTAAAATAAAGTGGGGAGGAGTTGGTAATGTGGTATATTCATTAATGGCAATATTAAAATTACAAGACTTGTTAGGGTCTTAGTTAATTTTCCTTGTCTAAGGCCAATTCATCACTTCACTTTCACAAATGAGTATGGACTATATATGATATCTATCGTTTCTATGAAAACCCCCAAAAGAAGGAAACCAAATTAACTGCAGACTTGCATGTAAATATGCCCAAAATGTTCCAAATATGGCCCTGATTTAAAAGAAAAGAGAAATCAACAGTACCTGCTCTGATGTTGCATATGCGCCATAGTGCACCTCTTTACGTGATAATGCCTTCAAAGCAGCAAAGAAGGATTGCACCTGCAATTTACCAAACAAAATGAGTGGTCAAAGAAATGCTCACACAAGCTAAGGAGGGGTAAGCCATTTATGTGCTAAGCCATTCAGCTTCCTCATATTTTCCTGAAAACCAGATTGAGGCAAAAGAGAGACAATAATGTAGGAAACAAACAGAATAAAATCACAAAACTTTATACCTTCTCAACAACAGATGTAAGCTTGAAAGTTAGATACAACCCAGTCATGAGTGATGAAAAGAGGCTCCCATATTCTTTGTTCAAAAAGAAACGATACCAGACTGGTGTAGGCAATAAGGCACGGTACAGCAGCATCAGATACTCAACCAAAGTAAGCATTTGACCCTAGAAAAAAATTACCATGGTCAGAAAATAAGGAAAAATAATAAATGCTCAGGTGTATGCCAAAAACTTCTTGAATAGAGTGACAAAAAAAAATGATTGAGATCTCCATCCAATTAGTGGATGGGGCAAGCCCCAACTAGCTTTATCATTCAAATCCTTTTAAAACAAATCAAAACCCAAATAGAACCACACATTCTACATAATATCTCACCTGCTTACGATAATTTCGGCCTCTACCATTCTTGTAGTAAATTAACAAAATACATTTGAATACCATTGCTGCCTGCCGGACCAAAGTATCTGGAAAAGAACGGCAATAAGAACCCTCTAAAAAGGAGAAAAATAATATCACATGGCTTAAAGGTTCAAAACATGCCACCACATATGGGAAGATAATAGGAACAGCACTTAATTAAGGGGAAAAACTTTTGAGTAACTCATAAGAAATTATAGATATTCCTAAGAATTGAGAGATGTCCTCTGCATGTGGGTGTTTTCCTACATATTCCATGCAAAATTTTTAACAAATGCATGTGGTATGAGATAAAGTACCATCATTAATTTCTTTTTTTTTTTTCTTTTTTTACAACAGTACAAAATTAAGTGCATCTTCAGTCGACCAGAAGTAGAGATATATATCAACAACTTGCAAACAGCATCGTACCATTCACCATGATGATGAAAATAGCATGCCAGAAAGGAGGTATAGATTTAGGAGGAAGCATGATTAATGGATACAGAAGATCATCATTTTGATACCACCAGTAAACGCCAACCACATGAAGTGTAAATGCAAGAGCGATGCCAACAAGCATAGAGATTTTCCTCTCTCCCTGCAGAGACCACCAGTTGGTAAGCTCAAAAATCATAATCCAATCCAACTAAAAAAATGCTCAAATTCTCGCTAAGCACAAGTCCCTATAAAAAGCTCAGAAAATGTGCAGTAAAATTAAGTACCTTCAGAGCTGTTTGTTTTCGTAGAATATCATTAGACTTGAACATGACAACGGCAATCCAAATTGTGACAAAGAAACCTGCAAGTCCTTGTATAAAGAGCAATGTCACAAAATTTTAAAAAATTAAAAATAAGAAAAAAAAACTTTATAGAAAAAAGACAACAATTCAACATGCTCAAAATCTGTGATAATTTTTTTTCTTTCTCAAAATTATGTAATTTCCACCCCATCTTAATGAAAGTCTGCTGGTACATAACACACTATCAATTCACTAACAGCTTTCGCCAAAAACATAGTTGGTAGGAATTACTAATCCAAAATACGGTTCCTCCACAAGCTTCACACGTTCACTTTTCTTTGTGACATTAATGAATTCTACTCTAGAAATAAAAAGGCAAAACCACTTTATTTAAGATAATAACACAAGAAACAAATAATACCTTGCAAATGCTGGCGAATGAAGACAACCAATAGAAGCAAAGAGAATGGAAGCACTTGCTCAATCCACCTAGCAGCTTGCTGAATATCATATCTCTGGTAGGTTGAATCCCGTCCATTACCCCCCGCCCCATCCGCAGCTTCCCCATCCCCACCCACACTCGAACTCTGCTGACTACTAGCACCACCAGCAACATCTCCTACGCGATCACTTCTCAAATCACCCTGAAGAACATCCGCACCCATTGTTTGCTGCTGCACCAACACCTCATTCTGCCCACCACCAACTTGCCCAACAACCAATCCACCAGAACCATCCCTCTCATGTTCATGCTCCCCCGCCCCAATTATCCTAATGGCAACCTCCCCATTATTAGCCACCACCGCAGCAGATGAATCATCAAGTCTAGTAGAACCAAGTCCTCCTCCACCAATACCACCAGGAATTAAAGACTCGGTTTCTTGGTGAGTTGAACGAGTAGTTCTTAAAAGACCAGAATACTCTAATAAAGCAGAAAGAGGTGCTTGAATAATACTAGAAGCTGATAGCATTCCATATCTCCTCGACGAAGAAGAAGAAGAATTGTTACTACTATTACTATTTGCACCTCCACCTCTGTACGGATCAGAAATACTCCCTGACCCTTCCATTATCGTATCAGCAGTAGATGATGCCCTAACCCTAACCATCACATATATTTTATATTATTATCACCCTATCAAATCATCAATCAAATAAAATAATTAAAAACAAAAAATTGATCAGAAGGGTGAAAATTGTTGAGAGGAGGATAAAGGAAGGAGGAACAGTACCTGCGAGAACGAAACTCCGTCGAGGAAGAGAGAAGGGAATTAGAAATAAGGGAAAGATGAAATTCGATGTGGCATTCGATAAACCCTAACCCTAATAAATTTGGGGGTCAATCAAAGAAGAGAAAAAGAAAAGTCAATGAGAAAGAAATCTTCCTAATTTGACTATCGTATCGCCATTGAAGGGAGAATCGATCAAAGAATCAATCGGAGCTTTCTTCTTCTTCTAAATAAAATTTCGATAAAAAGATAACCTATTTATCTAATAGATGGAACGGAGGGTTACTAATTCTCCTCTTCCTTTTTTGCTTCTTGTTTCTCTCTCTCTATGTTGATGATGATGCATATACAGAGAGGAGTAAGAGAGAGAAAGAGAGAGGGAATGGATAGGGGCAAATATGACAAAAGAAATTGTTGTTAATTCCTGAGCGAGGAGCAGCTCGGTAGGTTTTATTTCCATTTTTTCATTTTTTCTAAAATGGTATTTACTTTATTTTAATGATGTAATAATAAACCCAAAAGTAGGTTTGGAGGTGGAGAAGATTGGCTCTTTTTTTTTTTTTTTCTTAGTTCTAATTTTAATGCTATCATTTCTTAATACTTCATCACTAAGCTATCATTAATAGGAAATAAATATTTTTATTGATGTCGATTCGTACTATCCCAAGCAAAAAAACTAATTTAATCATATATGGACCCACCTGTCGAATTTCTTATATAAATCATTTTATACCCACGGAGTCTATGTTATTCCCTACACAACCTTTTTTCCTGATAAAGAATACACATTCCCTACCCCCAACAACTCTGGGTACCCTTCTATACACGTTTTTTCTCATTCCCTTGCTAACTAACCCATTTTTCTTCTTACGAGAAAACCTTAATTTAGTTCCAAATGCATGACATTCTATTAGCTGCGTCCCGAACCTCTTGATTTTTATCAATTTTATCCTAAATGTAATAAAAATTAGATAACGTCATCCTTCTTTTCATCCATCCATTGTTATTTGTTAGTAGCAATTAAAAAATATATATATCTGTTAATGAAAATAATATTTGTTTGTGTTCATTAATTCATCTAAAAAAAGACGTCAAAATAAATTTTTAAACATCGCTTATGTGAAATTTTTGAGGTATAAGTATTGCTTCGGTACTGTATTCATTGTTATTTGTAGTTATGCCCTTATTTTATATTGAACATAAAAAATGTGGAAAGAATTATTTCTAAGTACAGTTTTGACTCCCGAGTAGCAAATAAAAATGGATGTCGTGCCGTGTGTTTAGCCATATAATGCGTTTGTTTTTATCTGACTACTCATTGAGATTAGGGGAAAAAATAGTTTATTTCTTTTTTTAAAAAAATTATTTTGAGAATGGGTTTTATTGCATGTTTAATTTACTTTATTGTGAATATGTTTATTGTACTTCGTCATCCAACGGAATTATTTATTCTCACCAGGATTTTAAGCAAGACCCGGAGCCGACAATCTAATTACTAATTTGGGCCTGAGGCCCAACCAAGCTTTTTGGACATATGATAGGCAGGTAGCCCAGTATATTACATTCAAGAAAATAATAATTGCTCGTCGTAAAATTCTAAGCAAAAGCAAACTTGCCTTTTTACTCAGGAGGACGATACCTTGAAGTTACCTCAATCGAAAATGCTATGAAAACATAATCGTTTCAATTATTGTTAATTCTAGACTGAACCTCGTGGTACTAACTGTATGGGCAGGGCAGCTGAAAACATTGACGATGAAGGCTGCATAAGGAATAAATAGTAATAAATAAATTACATTATTGACACATTAAATTCGAAGATTTTTAAGCAAGAGTTATTTTGGCCCACTAAAAATTCTCATAGTATTTTGATACCAACCCTCTTATTCCTTTTTTTTTTTTTTTATTCAAAGGAGAGGCAAAGCTCTAAACAAAATAAGTTTCGTTATACATTTAAAGAGTGGTGACTCCACATATATCTTTTAAAAGAATTCTAATACAACCTCGTTGGGATATTCGATCAATATGAAATACCTAAAAGAAGATAATAGGCGTGATTAGATAGCCAATCAGCTAGTGCGTTTGTCCGCATATAGGTGTGATCCATTCAAACTACCTAAGGTCTTCAAGCATTTTGCATATAGTAATTATAGAATGGCTATCGGCCCTTCGATGACCTTCGCAGAATGTAAAGACCGAATCGCCACCATAGAGTCGGATTCCGAAGAACTTATCCGTATCCTAAATTCCACATCATTTCAAGGCCGACCAAGATATCCCAAAGTTCAACACACAAACCAAAACAAATCCCAATATGATAAGAGTAACCATGAAGCCGTATACCTACATCATCCCGAAGAATTCCTCCTATTAGTAGCCATGCCAACCAAACTCCACAAAGCTCTATCAATGTTGAGTTTGAACCAACCAAGTGGTGGTTTCAAGTAACTTATAAGAGTCTCATGTCTCAAACATTTTGGATTCCTATATAATGACATCATGTCCATGCTAGCCGTAATTTGACTCGTATAAGCAAAAATCACGTCTGAGAGTCGTTAGGACATGTGAAACCTTGCTAGAAAAGGCTCTTGTTTCTCCAAGCACCATAAAAACTAACAATAAGTACCAAACCACACACTCCAAGATACCACTTCGTAACACCCCCGCCCCAATTATATTTCTACTAGCCAAGTAGGGTACTCGGACGAAGCACGTTACGCCGACATACCCTAAACTCTAAATAGTTCTCTTATGATATTTTTAAAACTTTAACAAGACATTACGTATATAACTCCTTACGATAAACTTTACATAACATAATTAAATACATTAATAAAACATTACAGGCAATATTCAATTTCTCACAAACTCCATATCCCAAATTTACGTACAAAATAAAAACTAATATATGGTGCCTCACATGAGCTAGTTAGGAGGAGCTAGCCGCATCCGTACCAACTTGTCCTTTTCCTATCACGACATAAAAATAACAACAGGGTGAGCCGAAGCTCGCAAGTAGGGTGATGCACATGATATGCAATGCTATTCCGTTTCCTACGTTTTCATCCATTTTAATCCGGATACCCCGGGTATCTACAAGTCCACGCGTTCTATCTCTCGGTATCGTGTTATCACCTACTCGCTCTCTTACTCTCTCTCGCTGATCTCAATATCACCTACCGCTCACAACGGAATTATCCCTCGTTATAAGCACACGGTTAGCAGAATTATCCCTCGCTTAACGGTGTTAGTAATAGAGCTCGCACTATGGATTCCTTGTTATTACTCATTCCACTCAATTCGGTTACCAAACCGTGTCATTTAATGACTTAATGATTTTTCTCAATTTATTCCACCCCCAATGCACATGATGCATGTAATGACATGTTTAATCACATTCAACCAAACTCGGGTACCAACCTTCTTTCTCAAGCCATACTCACGGTTCAACCAACACTCGGGATTCACCCGTCGCTCACATACCAATCATGGTACTCATAACGGGAAAACAACCTCCGCTCATTAATATTGTTCATTAGTTTCATTAATATTTAAAAGAAGGTCCAAATCTTGTCCTTATTTCCCCTCTAAAAGAATAAATTTTCTTTAGAATTTTCAAATCCCTTTTATTTCTATCTAAGTCCACTTATTTTAGTCCAAGCTCGTTTTTTTTAGTCTAAGCCCATCTACTTTAAAACCAAGCCTTTTGATTTTAGTCCAAGTCCATTTAATTTATTCCAAGCCCATTAACTTTATCCAAGTTTCTTAACTTAATCCGAAGTCCATTGACTTTATCCAATTTTATTTTATTTTATTTACACCCATTAATTTTGTCCAAGTCTAATTATTGGGTTTTAGAGTTTACTACCGAGCAACTCCTAATCGAGTAAATAATTTTCTAATTTCAGAACATAATTAAATCTTACTCATTTTATTGTAGATACTAGACATATTGATTTATAACATATCCAAAAATTAGGTCTACATACCAAGTACACAATTAATTACAAATTTTGAAACTTATGGAGCAATATGCCTAGTAGTAGTTTGTCTAGAGCTTTCTGTACTAAATCAAGTATAACTCTTTGTACACGAATCCAACGACCAAAAAATCTTAAAGGAAGTTATTTGAAACATAGATGAACAACTTTTATTCTTTAAGTTTCACCCAGTAAATCGACCTAAAATCCTTGAACATGCATCCCAAAATTCAGTACAGAATTTACTCCTCATTAACACTAATTTATTAGTTCATTCGAAGCCAACTTTAAACATATTTTAGTTCACTTAAATTTAGTCCAAGTCCAATACAACTCATCACCACATACTTGGACATTTTTCAAAACATCATAAACATCATAAATCATCACAAAAAGACATCCATACATAGATTCATCCCAACATCAAGCATATAATCATTGAAAATTATTACAAACCTATGAAATAAATACTAACAAAATAACTTTAAAAAAATAATTTAAGACATTAATCAATAAAAAAATGGAACATACTTACCTAGTTTAGGTTTGATTAGAATTTTCTTAGCTCTTTTCCTTTCCTTTTTCCCTTTCTCTTTTTCTTTCCTTTCTTTCCTCTCTTTTGCCGTGTTTCACTCCCTTACAATTGGTTTCTCCCCCTTTTGTGGTAAGCTACGGTTTCACTCTCAAAATCAGCCACATATCACACTTTTGCAGCTTATATACTAGTTTTTATTTCAATTATTTCATGATACACATGTCTGAAAATAATGAACCAAAGTGGAAAGTAAATAGTGATTAGGGAGGGTATGTGGCTTGTTTAGCTTAAAAGAAATGAGGAGTCATCAAGTGTAATTAATAAGTGAGTCTAGGTGTCTACTTGGTCTCAGATAACTCATTCCA